AATCATATGCGCAGACTCTAAATTTCCAGTGAATTCCAGATATTTTTGCTTCCTGATATCTTGCTCTGGCATCCTCATTCAGACTGGAGTGGAGTGTAGTTTCGACCTCGCAATTTATCATCAGCAACTCCATCGGGACTCGAACCATGTCGGTGCAGCGTATAATTTCGCCACGTTAATCACTACGCCACATTGCCACAAGTGCCCCGGCGTCACAGGGCAGATATGCATTTCAAGGAAGGTCAGGCATTTTCCGGGATAACATTCTGTGGTAGGATCGTTGATGAGGCAAAGTTGTATTTACCATGGCAACAGACTGGTTACTTATTTTTCGCGTATAAATGGGGTTTAGCGACTACTAGTAGATCATATATATGATTTATATTAAACCTATTAAATTGAAAAGAGAAAGCACACACATGACCCCACACGTATTCACAATTGTGCACAGGGGAATGGCAACAACCCAGTACAGTACAAGTTTCCACCCTCGTGTCAATAGAAGAGTGTATTCGTTCAAAACTTCAATTCATTTTACATACATGATTGCTGTACTTCATTCACAAGAGTGAGAATCAATCAAATTTAGCCCGAACCGTGTATGTACAGGTTAAGCGTTGCCTACTGAGATACACATGTCTAGAGGAATGCCCTTAAAACAGAGTTGGTTTCCATCTACTCGTAAGCGGTAACATGTTAGCCTCTTAGACCGTACATCCAATCGCAAAGTCCCTCTGAGGGTGCCGGTACGACGATGAGGCCAGGTCAAAACTTCAGCCCAGCTTCGGTCTAGAGGAGAAAGGGAGCTTTGGGTGCATGAGGTAATGAGATGGAGGGCAAGTAATTGAGCCTTCTTCTCAACTCAACACAGGCAGATTCGGTATCAGTCCAACAGCTTGATACGAAACTGGAGAACCGTGTTAGCGAATCCGGCTAATGAGGGCTGTGAAACAACTAATATATGAGTAGGTCTCATGTTTCCGTTAAATTTTAAACAGACTTACTTTCCACATGTAATTCTCATCCGGGCTAGAGGGGACCGCAGTTTTACACCTCTCTTAAGTCTCATCAACGCTCTAGAGGGATTCGAACCCGATTTATGATAGTGTAAATTAAACACTAAGTCACATTGCCACGAGTAACCTTGGGCGAAAGACAAAATAGATGTTCAAGGATGGCCAGGCCTTTCCCAGATCACTTGTTCACGTGGGCTTGTAGATGAAGCAACATTATATTTGCTATAGTGATCGAGCATATTACTTATTTTCGTCTTTAAGTAGGCTTTCGAGGCTGCCAGTGTAACTGTGTTCACCTTATTTCGTTCACGGTGCTAAAGGACCGGTTGTTGAATTTCCCCACAGTCATATGAATAGGCTTCACGTTTTCACTCAATTTCACATAGTCTTGTCCTTTAAAAGGTATCCTCATCCTGGCTCAAATTTACTTCATTCTCGACCTCGACTGGGTCCCATCAGCACCTCCAGGGGCACACGAACACTGCGGCGAGTATCCTCGGATCATAGTGCCAAAGTGAGCTTCAAGGAAGACCAGGCATTTCGCCTATTAGTGGTTGACATCGTCTTCACAGCTTGGTCTTATTGCCAGGGAGACTTGGAGCAACGCGTCTTGTTTGGAGTCCATAGTTTCGCCAGAAGCGTCAGTGTGTTCTAACAGTCTTAGCACCACATTATCACTCGTCAAAGAGACAAGTGAACTCAGACATTTGGTTAATGGGTCGACTTTACTTGTCTCTGACGATTTGTAGTGTGACGCAAAGCTTGGCAAGGCTCACTGACGTCTGGGAATGTACCAAGTCCATAGTCTGATGTAGAAAATTATCATAGAAACTACAGGCTACTAACAAGGTCCATTCAGCTTGGTCTCTCTGTCAATAGGAGCAAGTTGCGAAAACGAGGTCAAATCACTTCTATGTCACGGTAGATCTCGACCATACTAAAGGGCGTCTGGGTCTTCATACCTTTTTCATATCACGTTCTATGGTGACTATGCTCATAGTCATAATGAGTTGAAAAGCAAAAAAGTAGAAGCATTAACAACCAGTATTTACTGTTTGATCGATATTTTTTTTGTTTTAGCTCATGGATACCGCCGATCATTTATGCTCCGGACTGCGATTGTCCGCCGACCAAGCAGTTGTGCAGGCGTTAAAATCTTTATTCCCGACCAAAACTACTGCTGCCGCCGTTTCCCCTCCATCTAACAACAACAGGGCTTCTGCCATGACGGCCTCTGTCGGCAGCCTGGACCTCTTTGCCAACCATTCACCGATTCCAGAGCCCATCAGTCAAACTGTTGCCGCAACGCAGGGAGGCCATCGCGATACAGCTTGGGCCCTGCTTCCGCCATCCTCGAAGGCTTCCGTCCTCAGCGCCAACGTCGAAGCTGACCGAAAAGTACTCCGTTCCGCGCTGCATAGGCGATCCGGCAAGCCTGACGGCCGATTCCGCCAAAAGTCACCGCCAGCCCCGTCCGACGTGTCCACTGTGGCTGGATCCTACTTCGCTCCCGGCGCCTTCAGACGCGGACTGGCAAACCGGCCCAGCAGCCAAAGCGAGGACAAGAGGCAAGTCGCACGTCTCTCCGTCGACGACGGCCTTGCCAACGAGTGCAGAGACAATCCTAACAACACCAATGGCAGATGGCCCCTCTTCAGACAGGACATCAGCTCTTTGTCGCTGATAAACATTTGTCCCATTTGCAACGCCTGCCTGCCCGGGTTGGCAGAGTTCGTGGAGCACATGTCTTCCAGACATCATCAACCGACCCAATCGAGGCCGGAAGTCAACCCTCCTCCGCGATACCCGTTCGAGGTAGCCACGGAGAAGGCTGAATCGCGAATCCCGGTTGCTCGGTTTGAAAGGCGGCTGGGAAGCTTTGATGGTACAGGACAGACGAACGGGGAGTCTGGACACCGACAGTTGCCAGGCGTGAAGCATAGACGACTGGAGAGAGAGGAGCATCACGGCAAATCGAGTCAAACTGGAGCGCAACTCGACTTGAGAAGAGACGCCCGGCCACTCAAGTTGGGCTCAGATGCTGCGAGAGACAGAGTTTGCCATGAATTGACCAGCAGAAAAGGGGCCGATAGTGGCGCAGCAAAGCCTCAGATGCGGGCAAAAAGCGATGAAAGAGCTGGTGAAAAGGAACAAGCAGAAGGGAGGGCAGCTCATCCGCATGCTTCACTGGTACAGTTTAAGTCTATCATTTCATGCGGCAAAAATATGGACGAATTAGACGTAAAGCCATGCAATAGGAAGACGCAAAAAGAGGGGAAAGAAAAGAAGGAAACAGACAACTTAAAAAGGAGACTTGCTAAGGCAGGAGAGCATGAGACGGAGGAGGACAAAGAAAGTAATGGTCCTATTGAGAAAAAGTATTGTCATTCGCGAAAGCAGCAGAGCTCAGGGAAATCAAGAAGCAAGTTATTCGAGTGCCTCCTCTGCAAAGAATACAGCAAGTTTTTTAGTCGTGCTGACCTGAGGGTGAGTTATTTGCTCCAGCTTCATTATTACTTTCATACTTTTCTGCTTAAAAGGGATTATTTTTTATTCTGAGCCACTTTTACCGACAGTTTCGGAAAAGAAGTATCATTCTCAATACAGTGAATTAACGATTGCCTACTCAATGGGCCATCAGGGCTGTTAAGTGTAGTTATGTAAAAATAAAATCGTTTTTTAATGATCAGTAATGTCTCCTGAGACCCAGTAGAACAGTTATTTACTGAAGTTGTAGCAACGATGGTCTTGTGTGTATCCTCGATGATATAAGCATTCCAAAGTGATCCTCTAACATCTAATTCATTTGATTAATGAAATGATTTCATGACACAATGATACCCCTTTAGAGTTAATAATGGTGATGAAGCAATTATGAGAACAGCCTCATTGAAAACCAGATAAAGGATTGCTTTAGATTTGTTGCTGTTGATTTAAGCTTAAAAGTCCAATCCCGACAAATCCGCGCTCATTCTGCGATTGCCATGGCTTGATAGATAGTCGGAATGAGAAATCATTCTTCAATTTGATTCGCCAAACATCATGTCGACTGAAGTGCCAAACTATAATCCTACCTACATCCTAGAATCTAATTTTGATCGATTAAAGAG